AAGCAGTATAAAAGACTCATTTCATTTCAGCCCTTAAGTACATGTCATTTTAATATTTTGTGTGAAGTTTACACAAGGCACTTTAGCACACGTAGGTTAATGGTTTTCTTGAGGAAAAACATTATGATTGTTTGAGTTGCTTAACTAGTTGCTTTTTAAGCTAAAAACCATTTTTTATCTTCTGGAAGATGGGCTAGCAGATAAACTATGGGTTTTTACACTTGAGTATATGGCAGACATTTTCATTTTCTTCTTCTTCTTCTTCTTCTTTTTAATGTTTATTTATTTTTGAGAGAGACAGAGTACAAGTGGGCAAGGGAGAGAGAGAGAGGGAGACACAGAATCTGAAACAGGTTCCAGGCTCTGAGCTGTCAGCACAGAGCCCCATGCAGGGCTCGAACTCACAAATTGTGACATCATGACCTGAGCCGAAGTCGGATGCCTACCCAACTGAGCCACCCAGGTGCCCTGGCAGACATTTTCTTGAAAAGAAATAAAATCAGCCTGTCACCTCAAGGACAGCAATTGGCAGCATTTGTTGCCAGTGATAAAACCCAAGCTTTCAAGCCCCAGATCCATCACTTATTAGTATACTATTTACCTTTCTAGCATCTTACCTGTAATGTCAGGATGGTGATAATCCATACCCGATACAGGGTACAATCGTTAAATAAGATAACATTATTTGTACAGTGCCTAGCGTGTGTTAAGTGCTCAATGAATGCTGGCTTCTCTTACAGCTGCATCAAGTTAAAACAATCAGTTTTGCTTTTCAGTTTTAATTTAACCAAATATGTGCATCAATATGAAACATGTTTCATCTGGGGTGCAAGTATTTTCTAAAGATTAAATTAATTCAAAATTCTTTGATAACACGGCGACAATGAAATGACATCAGAGCTATAGTGAAATAATGGCAGGGCATTAAAATATTGAGTTTTAAGCAAAAATTCTCATTTCTACAGTTTTCCATAAGGACATAAAGAGGACTAGTTTGCACAAGGTTAAAAATACACAAAATAACACTGAATATCATAAAAGTACCTCCCAAAGCTTACTACTTGAAAAGCAGTTTGTCAGTACTAATGCTAAGGTACACAAAGCCATCTGTGTCCTTGACATCCTGAAAGCTAAAGCCACAGAATGATGTCTTGACCATTATGCCATTAGTATCACATCTCGCCTGTAAAATCAGATGATTTTCCAAATTGAAGCACTTCTACCAAGGCTTTGGATAGGAATTAATGGGAATTCAGGTTATGACACATTTTGGGCATAGGCAGGCTATGAAAAGCACAGAAGGGAAAAGGAGGCCAAGATAGATTGGATAATAGCAAGATAATGATCAAGAGATTAAAAAAAAAATAAAAAGAGAGAGAGAGAGAGAAAGGAAAAAAATGTACCAAAAAGGTTGTGAAAACTGTAGGAGCCTGTTAGTGGGACATAATGAGGCTCTTTAAGGGATATTTTTATATTATCCAACGAATTTTCCGTTTTCAGCAATGAATGAGCCCCAGTCTTGTACATAATGTACATTGGCATGGTTTTTATGTCTTGTGTGTGAACTACCAAAGTCCATCGAACCTTTTTCAATCCTTCTGATCACTGGCCTGATCCTGTGAGATCCCTTATCTATCCTGTGGAAGGTATTTCTTTATGAACAGCTACTGAGCTGTCTTCCTCATGAACAAAGGTAATATTCACACAACATTCAAAGGGCTAAGTAGATCCATCCTTGCCACTTTTCCTTTTGGTCCAGACAGTACACGTTCCCTGAATATGTTTTCCACTCAGATGGCGGTCGGTGCTATTAACTGCCCCGACTGAAAACTATTTTGCAAATGAATATGAAATTGCTCAGAGGTGGGGGAAGTTGGTGTTGCTTGTTTTGGGTGAGAGGGTAGCAGCTACAATGGAGTCAGGGCGTCGATTAGGCTCATAATTAACCTGAAAACTGTCCTGCCAGCAACAGCTACAGCAGCAGCAGCAACCTGCCTGTCAGTTCCAGTCCAAGAATTCCAACTGCTATTTCAGTTGTTATGGAAACTGGCCACACTGGTTCTTAAAGAATTCATTATTCCAACAAATATTTGTTTTCCTAAATCATTACAGGGTATCTAAATGAGTGATGCAGACACACACGATGGAGGAGCACACAGGAAGAAGCTGGTGATTAGAGATGTCACAGGGCTACAAGTTAAACCTGACCTTGGGGCATGATTAACTGGGGGAGAAGACATTTCAAGTGACAGGACTGGCAAAAGCAAGGGAAGTGGGGTTGGAGCCACAGACTCACATGGGGTTGGAGTGGGAGATGGGAAGGCACATTGAGGCCAGTGGGGAGAAAGCTTTGAAGGTCAGTCTGAAGAATTTGGACCTCTCTATAGACAAAAAGGAACTAGGATACTTTAGGGCAGGGGAGCAGTGCTTTAGGAATATTAATTTTTATCTGCAGACTAACAGCAAAGTTGTCAACCTGGTTTTTGGCTAATATTTCAATCCCACTTGTCTTGGTAGATGTCAAGACAATAATTTGAAAAGTGAAAAATTCAACCTCATCTTCTCATATAGGGAATACCACACTTATTTCACTGAAACCAATGGACTCTTGTTTATTAAGACTCATCAAAACTGTTATGGGTGTGTCTATGACATCCTGAGTATTTTTACGAGCTTCAAATTGACCTGCAATAATACAGCCCCCAAATACCACTCTGCCATCTGTCAAGGAAGTGTTTAGAACTAAAGACTTAATTTTCAAGCAGAGTCCTAAATGCCCTAGAAGAACAATCATTTTTCCTCATACCACAGTGGTTTTTGCACCTTCTACTGCCTAACCAGTAACCTGAAATCTTTAATAGAATAGTAACTGACCAGTAAGATAAAATATGGGAGAGTTGGTTAATATAAGAAAAACCTTTATTCAGAGCAGCAGTTTTTAGACTGCAGTCTGTGGACGCTTGGGGGTTTCAAGCTTTGTATGATGCCAAAGATTTTATATTGTGCTATTTGATTTTCTGAAGGGCACAGGACTTAGGTAAGCCAAGGTCTTTAGTTATACCTAGACAGATAGAAGTGATATTTGAAAATATATTTCGAAATTTAATTGCGAGTGCTAAACCACTGGTAACTCTGAAATAATATTACTGCCAGAGAAAATAACAACAATCACAAAACATGCTGTACTATTTTTAGAAGCTGTTTTTGGATCACATTATTAAAGACACAGATTTCTATGTGATAATAAAGGCTCATTCTTTGGATACTGAACATCAGGGTTAAGAGTCTCTCCTCTTCCTAATTTGGCCCCTAAGATAAAAGCTGAATATAATTCATTGTGTATGGCCTTGATGGCGAGAAAAGTGATTAAAGTTTATGTGGAAAGGGGAATTTTCTTTGCTATTAGGAGGATGAGTTTCTCTTCAGTAAGGAGTAGAAATCATTTACTTTTACTTTTTGAAAAGAATGTAAAAAGTGTGGCAAGAGTTCATCCAGTTCCCATGGTTAAGGTCAACAAGAGGTAAGCAGCTCAGAAACAGAACTCAGGTTGGGCTCAAGAATTCTCACTGCTTAAGACACGCAATTCCTCCTCCTCTCACCTCTGTTAATCCCTTTGGTTGCGTTGCCCGCTCTCCTCCTTCAGTTTCCTGCTTAAATATCACTTCTGTAGGAAAGCCTTGCCTGATCACTCTGATCACCCACTTCTACCCCAGACACTCAATCCAGGCTGTTCTGTCTCCTTAAGTTTGTGATAATAAGTTGATTAGTTCTTCTTTTCACCTAGGATGGAAGCTCTGTGATCCCTCACTGCCCAGAATGGGTCTAGGCCTCAGTATGTATGGGATGGAGGAATGAATGAGGGAGACGGTCCAGGGTAACAACCCACACAACTGTGGGTGGAATGGGGTGAGCCCTGGGACGGGAAACTGCAGCCCTAGTCTCCTCTCTGCCACCAGTTGGTTAAATGACCTTAATCAAACCTCTTAAATCCTCTGGGACTCAGTTTCCTTATCTGACAATGAGGGAGACTTAGTGAGAGATTTCCAAGGAAACATTCCAACTTTAGGGTGCAAGATTCTAAGTTTATATGATTATATTTCTTGGGTGCCGATAACTATTCTTTTTCCTACCCATTGAAGATGTGTGGACCTTTTCATTATTTCTGAATATGAATAGAAAAAATTTTTTAAATGAAAAGGTAGGTGTATTAACTTTTCTAAAGACTTGAATACTTAGAGGGAAAAGTACTAGCTCTTGGGAGGTGCTTTGACAATATTTGGTGCTATTCTGGGCAATTATAACTGTTGCTCAAATAGTCCCATTGATTTGCATGGGGAAAACTGAATAGCCGGTTCTCACACTCATTAGCTATGTGAGCTTGGACCAGTCCCTTTACCTTTCTGAGTCTCAGTGTCCTTATCTGTATAACAGATATGTAATAGAGATAGACCACCAACCTATAGGATTGTGGAAGGATTAACTGAGATGAACTGGAACACAGTATGTGCTTAGAAAATGCTGGTGAATTTTATCCCACAATTAATTTACCAACGACGTTCACAGTATGAGGCATAAAATAAATGAAATTTTCTTACCATTAGCTAAACGGAATGCAGGGTATGGTTACTGAAATATATTTGAATATGTGGTTGCTGATATATTTCGTTTAGTGAGCAGTGGCTCATTGTTCAAACAGAAAATGTATGTGCTAGATTTTAGCATATGACTTCTTCATACTCATGGGATTATAAGGTATTTTATTACTGAGGAACTAAAATCAGGAGTCTGACATTCCTTAGAGTCTTACTTTGTTCTGTAAGGATACAAAGCCAAAAACAATATAAAACTGCATAAATGAAAGCAACAATCCAGAAGCCTCAAGGGTATTTCCTAACTGAAAAAGGGGCAGAATTCAAAGCAGAATAAGAAATGAACAGTTTTTTTTTCTACCAAGTTGTTTATTAGCAACTGCATTAGAAAACTTGAGAGCTGTTACTCACCAATCATGAAAATAATTTTACACTTTCTCAAATCTTCCATGAAACCTTTAAAGTAAGAATAATTTAAGTTACTGGCAAGTAAAACTGTTTTGAAACACTGGTTTTACTTATGTTGTGTAAAAACCAAAATCTTGTAGCTTTATTTGATAAGAAGCCTTAAGTTCAGTAAATGTGTTAATAGGTCATAAATTATAGGCACCAATGACCATTTCAACCTTATTCCCAGACCCTGGTAACATAATTTCATTTTAACATAAACTATCAATTTTTGGTGGCAAAACTGATGAGCCATTAAATAGCATGACTTACAAAGAAAGATAATTTTTAAAATTATTTTAAAACGTTCTTAAGTATCTCAGTTTTGTGTTATTTTACATTTTTCTTAACATTTGCTGAGGTTAAAGCACAAATGGGGAGTCTGGAAGATAATATTTTAAATACAGTTCCTATTTACAGAAAATAATACTATTTTCCATTTAAGGTAGTAATATAAAATTTCCTTCTAAAATAAATCTATTTAAATAATAATAGTGAGTCAATTTAGAGAAAAATATTAAGTCAATAATATCTAGCATAGGTCATATAGAGATGAAACAAAAATCCCAGAGATGGTGAGAGTGAGGATTGAATTTTGGGAACCACTACTTTATTTTTTCTCCAAGTTTTTATTTAAATTCCTGTTAGTTAACATACAGTTTAACATTAGTTTCAGGTGTAGAATTTAGTGATTCAACACTTAAATACAACACCTAGTGCTCATCACAATAAGTGTCCTCACTCATCTAGCCATCCCCCCACCTACTTCCCTCAATCAACCCTCAGTTTGTTCTCCATCATTAAGAGTCTGTTTCTTGGTTTGCCTCTCTTTCCCTATCCCATGCTTGTTTGTTAAATTCCACATATGAGTGAAATCATATGGTATTTGTCTTTCTATGACTTATTTCACTTACTATAATACATTCTAGCTCCATCCCTGTCATTGCAAATGGCAAGATTTCATTCTTTTTGATGACTGGTTAATATTCGTGTGTGTGTGTGTGTGTGTGTGTGTGTGTGTGTGTGTGTATCACATCTTCTCTATCCATTCATCAGTTGCTGAACATTTGGGCTCTTTCCATAATTTGGCTATTGTTGATAATGCAGCTATAAACATTGGGATGCAGGTATCCCTTCAAATCAGTATTTTTCTATCCTTTGGGTAAATACCTAGTAGTACAATTGCTGGATCATAGGGTAATTCTATTTTTAACTTTTTGAGGAACGACAATACTGTTTTCCAGAGTGGATGCACCAGTTTGCATTCACCCCAACAGTGTGGGACCGAGGAACCACCACTTTGAAACAGAGGGATAATTAGGAATTTTTGGCAAAGTGCAAAACCCTCCAGAGTTTGTGGAGCCCTAAAAGATTGTCAATTGTCATGTGGTGTAGTAGCTGGCCATGAAGGATGGGTAGACAATAGCTACACTTTTGATACTATTCTCAACTGACTAGACCTAGGCGAGTGACTTCCTCTCCCTTGTACTTCAGTTTCTCCATCTGTAGGGTAAAGGTGTCTGACCCAATGATCTCTAATGTCTCTTTCGGTTCAAATACCTATGATTTTGTGGTTCCCGTAAATAAATGGGCCACAGGAGGAAATGGTCCCCTTTGCCCCTTGGCCAAAATTATGATGTGATTATTGTTGCATGTTTCAGGTTTCTAAAGTAACCCAAAATTCAAAGAGGCCTTGGGTTAAGGGTGAGGTTACTTGAAGAGATGACCACAGCCCCAAACTTGAATTGGGAATGGCTCTGTGAGCTCAGGGTCTTTGGCCTCAGAAAGTGCCCATGGTTATTGCTTGAGCCTGGAAGCAGGGGGTCCTCAAACTAAAAAAAAATGTTTAGAGTGAGGACCTGAGGACAGGAGAAACAGCAGAACTACCCACGAATGTTTCAGAGAAGAGCAGAAACAAACTCACCCTGGCTTTAAGACCACAGCGCTTTAGTTATGGAGATCAGGCTGCCTGCTGAGCTGTGCCAGGGCAGGGTCACAGAGTTTGGGGGCAGAAGTAGATTAGCTCAGGATGCTCTGCAGTTGACTGTGGGAGTCTGCACAGGCCAGTAAGGGAGGTATTGCTGTATTCTAGAGACCATCTTGAGCAAATGATGGTGAAAAGCTAAAGAAGTAGGCTCTAGAGGGGGTCAGAGGATGCCACCATGTTCAAGTCAATCCTTAGATTGGCTAATTTCTTTTAATTTTTTTAAACATTTATTAATTTTTGAGAGAAAGAGTACACAGTGTGAGTGGGGGAGGGGCAGAGAGAGGGAGAGAGAGAGGGAGACACAGAATCCGAAACAGGCTTTAGGCTCTGAGTTGTCAGCACAGAGCCTGATGCGGGGCTCAAACTCAAGAATGGTGAGATCATGACCTGAGTTGAAGATGGACGCTTAACTGACTGAGCCACCCAGTCGCCCCAAGACTGGATAATTTCTGAGCAGCTTAGTTTAACACCCCCAGGGGTGGTGGTGGGTGTGTGGGAGCAGGCTGATTCCACAAAGAACTTTCAGAAGAGTTTCTTTGATGTGCTTAGACAAAGGCCAGACAGAGATTCTAAACCAGTGAGGAGGGTGGGTGTGGAGTGTTATGAACTATGGCTAACAAGAACTAACATTTAAAGTCAAGTTTTTAGAGCACCATGCTGGACAAACAAAATAGATCTGAGACTGGATGCTTCCCTTAGTTGGGCAGATGTGACTGCAGATGGAGCAACTGAAGATAATTTTGAATATTTTATTATTCTTAATTTAACCCTTATGCTAAGGGAGCTACTTTTCAAACTGTAATATACACTGAAGAGACAGTAATATATTAGAATATAGGACATTGTGATTTTTCACTTCATGGAAAATAACACGTGAAGTTTTGAAGTAAAGATTCTAGAGTTCAAAGGTATTTGATGTTTTTGTTGGAACCCCAGGCCCCTGAGCTGTGCGTTTCAGACCCTTGGCTGTGGAAGTTCCTGGAGCTACCCCCACCTTGAGGGGAGACCCAGGATGGAGGGGCCAGACTGGGCAGAGCCAGCCCTAAATTCCCAGTCTAGGTGTAACTCAGGGCTCTTTTCCTGGTTCTGGAGGCAGCTGCTTTTGCTCTTGCTCTGGGTGTGAGTTGACTAAAATGATGGGCAGAATGTGGTTACCTTGAGAGATAGTACAAAGTTTTTATTTCCTATCTTGGTGATAAAACTGCAGTTTTTACACTTAAAATTAACAGATAGGAGCCTGACTTACACTTTATATTTTATGTAGATGATAAGTACTTTTGAAAGCGAGATCACTCCTCTGACAGTTATCCAACTTGCTTTTCAGTAAAATTGGGATGCTTTTTTTATATACACAATGCTACCTTTTTGCTGGAATCCACTACTACCTGAGGAAAGGCCCAATTCTGAAGAGAAAATGGGACGTGAAGAATTGGGTTTGGGAACAGGAGGGGAAGGAGACAGGGGAGCTAAAATCAGAGGAAAGATGTGAATTTGGGGTTTGGGGAACCATCTGGTTTTCACACTAAGGAATAAAATTTTTTGTTCTTTCTAATCAAAGAGATGCTGCAGTCTCTACAGAATAGTCCACAGTGACTGGAAAAATCCTATGTTATCTGGAGCTTTCTATTAAAGGCACATACATTGGTGCTTTCAACTCATGGACCAGATGGTCATCTCATGTTCTCTAGACTTCCAGCTTCCTTTTATGAAGCTAAGCAACAACTGTTTCTTTTTTTAAATTCCTGTCCAGTTAACGCACAAGGTTATATTGGTTTCAGGTGAACAATATAATGATTCAACAATTCTATACAAAGTGGAGCAACTTTTAATCTATTTGCTATCTAAGAAAGCAACTATGGTTGTTATTGGGTATGGTTGTACCTATGATGGAACATTCATGCAGTGTAGTCATTACAAGTTAAGGTTATGGAGAGTTTGTAATGACTTGGGAACATGCTTATGTTATGATATACACAAAAAGAATGGAGATAATTATTTGTATACACACATGTATTCTCAACTATATAAAAACAGGTACATAGCCAACCCACTGGGATAAAATACACTAGAATATTAACCATGATTATTTAGAGGTCATAAGGTTTTAGATAGCTCATATTTTCTACCCTGAAAACTTTTCCACAATGAATACATATTAATTTTATAGCCAGGAAAAAGGGAAACCTTATTAGGCAATCAATCAATCCCTGTCCAGTTGGGACTGAGTTGATTATTTGCACTTGGTTCATGTTTATGTGCCTTTCCTCATGAATCACCATGATGTCATTTGGTGACTGAGATTTTCACATACTGCTATGGCCATTATCATCAAATGACACTTTATCTATTACCTCATGCTCATGGATCAGTGTAGGATTAGAGCTGGGGTTATTTGGAAAGCCGGATCACTTACTTGCATGTGCTCACAGTCAGTACAAACATATTTCCATGAACCATAGTTACAGCAACATTTATTACTGAGTGGACATGTTAGAAGGTACTTTATCTAGGACAATCATGAGCCTTATCTCTTTTGGACAATCTCAAATTCACATAATTTTAGCTATTTTCAGACAGTGAAGGCTGAATTTGCTAGTTGTTATGAGACTTTTAACATGACAACAGTTACAAAGCAGGATAATTTGGGTGTTTCTTAGGTTGCATCCCAACAGCACACTGAAGAATTTTAACTACCATGTAGGAAAAAGACTTCCAATAAATTTGAAGAATGTTAAAGTTAGCCAGCTGTCATTACTGCAGGACTTATAGGAATCTTGCTATGCTGTTATATGTGTCTCTTCCAAAGGGTAGTGAGTGTTAAATGTTCCCCAAACATATTTTTACGAGAACATTCCATTTTCACTAAGCATGTCAAGGGTCATGTTCTCTGGGTAGTAAGGAAATGCATCTCTAAGTAAGGTGGCCCTTTGATTCTTGATATGGACTAAAAGGGGAAAGATCCAAAGAGTTCCAATCTTAATTGCGTAGTCTGGCTAAGGAAAAACTGCATGCTGTCAGTAGTTTACTGTCTATCAGTTGGTGTTTAATAAAAACGACATGTTCAAAGCTACAACTTTGGTCTGATCAGTAAGGGAAACTCACCTCCCATGGTATCCTCTCCAAATACATTTAACTGGTCATCACCCTGCACATAAAAAATCAAAATATTAGGTGAGAGTACTAACAGGTATTGTGCTAAACTTCTTGCCAATGTACATTAACATACCTAACTTTCCAAACAACTCTATGAAGGAGGCACAATTACTATCCACCTTTTACAGATGAAGAAGCCAATAATTTGAGAAGCAAGTTGCCCAAGGTCATGTAGCAGTGAGGGACAAAACCCAGATTGGAACCTGGGCTGTCTGTCCCAAGAGTTCATGCTGTCTTTGTTGGACTTCCTGGTACAATATCGCACTTCATTTTCTTGGTGCATGACCTATCTGTGATCAGAAAAGCTGATTTGAAGAACACAACACTCTTCAGTGCCCGAAGCTCACTGATGGTTGTAGTTATAGTTGTTTAAAAACAACTTCATGGTTTAAAGCTGGACTTGGCACACTCTCTGTAAAGGGCCACATAGGAAGTGTTTAGCAGTGGGTGCCATATGGTTAACCACTGGCCAATCCCTGAAAACTAAAGCATGAAATAAGGGAGACTGGAATGACCAGCTTTGATTGATGCCTGCCTTTAAATGTTTATTTTATTTTTTAATCAAGCAGCTGCTGCATTTTCCTTACAGAAGAACCAGTGGTAGTTGGAGGGGGGTGGTGAGGGAGTCTAGGATGAAAGTTTATATAAAAAGGCATTTGGTGAGAATTCTAATTTCTACTTATGTCTCCATCCATTCCATTTTCCCACTCCCTCATCCATCATAGGTAACCACTTACAGAAGTTTTTTTTTTTTTTTTTTGCATCTTTTTCCCGATACACAAAAAACTTCCAGATATCTATGGATACATTTGAACATAAATATATAATCTGGCATTACCTCCATTTTGTATACAGAAAAAAGTGTACTTATATTACACATCCATATATGTTCATAATATACATACTCATCTATAATGATACTCTTCTTCCCCTTGCATTTTCACTTATCAGTGTATCCTGGAGAACTTTCCATATCAATACAGAATGTTCTCAGTTGTACAGTATTCTATCGTATGGAAGGTAACATAGTTGTTGTTTTTAACTAGTCCTTTATTGATGGACCATTGAGCTGTTTCCAATCTTGGGTTATTTTGGGAAAAGCATGGTGAATAAGCTCATATAAAGGTCATTTCATACACATATATCTGTAGGATAAATTATCAGAGAAGGGGATGTGTGGTCAGACAGTAAATGTATCTATAACTGATAGATTTTGTCAAACTGCTCTCCATTACAGGTTGTGCCATTTTGCAGGGCCAGCCTGTGGCTCATGCTTCACTCCAGCCTCTTGCTTCTAATTTGCTTTGATGTAGGAGTCAGTTAAATGAGGTTGGCTGGTTGTATTAATGCCCCCTTAAGGTAAACTGCCATGAGAGTACTTGCTTGAAATCAGAGCCTTGCCATTCTTTTTTAGAACATATGCCTTCAGGGCAACTTTACTGCTTGTCTTCTTAGATTTCCCTGTGTATCTAGAGCTATTCCAGGTGAGAGAAGAGTTTTTAATGGAGTGTTCATTCAGGAACACATTTGCATTCATTAACTTCCTTCCATGAATAGGAAAAATGTCAATTATTCCTCAGTGAGCCTATCCCTACTTCTCTTGTTGAAATCATTGCATTTTACAGCATTGCATTTTGGAGTTATTGGGATCATCTAATCCAACCCTGCCATCACCCTCTCCCATTTTACAGATGGGGAAATGGGTGGTCATTGAGGTCATTTGAGGAGCCCATGGCCATGTCATCATGTCCTTAGTGAAGTCAGGGTTAGGATGAGAACCACATCTCCTACCACACAGCATGGTTCCTGGAGATTTAATCCTAGGAGCTTAGCTACCACCATGGATCTGTTAGTGTCATGCCACTGCCTGGCTGGTGCACCCATCTCTCAGCTGCTGCTAAGGGCTCACAGAACACCTTCAACATAGGACAATTCTGGTATAAGTTGTGCCCTAGTGTTCCCCTTGAGATCAGACTGAAGCTGATAGCCACCTGGGGTCACATCCTTGCTCAGCTCCTGCCCCTGCCCTATCTTGCATCTCTCCCCCTGTCCTAAAAGCACTCCCTAATAGCACACTTGCAAAGAATTCCCATTTGAGGTTTTGCCTCTAGCAAAGCCCACCTGAGACAGGGACCTGTTTGAAGTTATGTTTGCCTAACAAGCATCTACACAGAAAGAGGTTCAGTAGCTTTTGTTGGTAGGATTGTTCCATTAGACTCTGCTTATTGCTTGTCACACAGCTATTGAACATATCCAGGTAGTGTTAGGGAGTCTTCTCCCTTAATTTTTAATATCACTGCTGAGTTATAAGACTTACACCCATCTTACAGGCTGAACTGCATCAGATTTTTCTCACACCTAGTTATCATGTTTTAGAAGAGCAATCAAGGTTAATCTGAATTAGTAAAATAATGCACTGTGTTATAAAGGAGCCTATCTCACCTCTATGTGGCTTCTTGAGTCTGACTGGTTTTTATCCATAGCTTTTATTCATAGCCTTCTAGTATGTTTGCCCAACTGCTTCATATGAGCCCCAGCCTTACTTCCAATAAAGCCCTGAGAGTGAAAAGGTTTTTGAAGCAGAGTGGTGCTAGGAATGGGGCCCACTGCATTCAATGACATGAAAGCCCAGGTAAATAGGATGTTTGACTGGGGGGTGTTATTTTCCATTGATGCTCAATAAACCTCATGATTCCTATGTGAATTTTTTTTGTAAATAAAATTAATCTGGCATCTTATACACACACACACACACACACACACACACACACACACACACAATAACAACTAATGAAAGGCAAACACTTCTGGTTTTGTTTTGGTGAAAAAGATGCCATAAAGACCCCAGAAGCCCTAAGTCTCATCTCTTTCTTTTCAAGTGCTAAGTGTGTTCTGTATGAAAGGCATTAATTCAGAATGTCAATTATATAAGAAGCAAAATGTCAGACACGTTTGTTTCAGATACCTAATAATCTGTAGCTGCATCTGCAGTGAGGCATACTTTGAGAAAGTACAACCCATTCACTACCAACTTCCACCCTAGGCACCCATGGGTGCTTCTTGGTGTTACAGTCTTTCATTGTGTTGTGCTCCATCTAGTCAGCCTTCTGACACCTGTAAGCCTGAATTGTGAGGTTGAGCTTTGTGGGTATGATGAGGCATAGGTGCCTTTGCACAGTAACAAACTAGGTTTGGGGGGCATAAAGCAGAATACTAAATCTGAACAAACCGACAGAAACGGTACTAATATTGGCACAGATTTTATGTAAGTGCCAATTATGACTCACACATACGAAGCCAAGACACAGACTGCAATGAGGTAATTAATGCTGGTGAAGATGGGCAAAGCTGCAGAGAAACCATTAACACACAAGAGCAAGTTCAGGTCGCCATATCTTCTTGTGCTATATTTATGATACAATGCTGGTAACTGAAGGGGAGAAATAAAAAAAAAAAAATCCTGTTGCAGTGACACAGCTAGAACCTCCAGACAGGACTTGTGGCTCTATGGGAAACTGGGTTTGGACTATGGATATGCTTTGGTCTCTATCTCTCATTCTCCAGTCAGGCCAGAGCCATAGGAGAGCAAAAGCGAACTGCATTCAACTTTATTTCCCGGGGTGGATGCGTCGGCAAGAAACTGCTTTTGCAAGGCTGGATTCTGGTATCATTTTTAGGAAGAGCAGCTAGTTAAGGTGCGTATATGTTTTCCTTTAGGATTGTAGCTCCTACTATCACCACCTTATGATATGGGTGTCTTGTCACTCTCAATTCCCTGAACTATTGAAATTTTGGGGGGAGAGATAAAAACAGAGCAACACAGCCTCCCGGATGGGTTCACCAATCACAAGAAATTACGTTCTTCCACCTGCTTTCATTGCAGCCTGGTGTATGCTCCTGCCTGCAGGACCCGTTCTGTGTGACATTGTCACAAGCAGATCAGGTCCTAATATAAAGTGGACATTGAACTACTGCTATAATCTCACTGGATCCTTGCTGGGAACCTATGCGTGTGGAATGATGCTGCTGAAGTTCTGTGTGTCACTGGATGGGGACGTGCCTGAGCATATCCACTGCTGCCCTCAGTGCCCTGATACCAACCTATGTTTCTTTATCAGCAGTCTCTTACTGGTATCAGAGGTGAGGTCATGGAGTCAGATATTTACGCTGCTCCTCCTTATGTAGATAGTGTTAATGTTTAAAAAGTGGCCCAGTTGGTTAAGCATCGAACTTTGGCTCAGGTCATGATCTTGCTGTTTGTGGGTTCGAGGCCTGTGTCGGGCTCTGTGCTGACAGATTGGAACTTGGAGCCTGCTTCAGATTCGGTGTCTCCCTCTCTCTCTGCCCACCCTCCCCCGCCTCATTCTCTGTCTCTCTCTCAAAAATAAATACACATTAAAAAAATTAAAAAGTTATTTGAAATTAATAAAAAAATACTTAAAATAAATAAATAAATAAATAAATATCCCTTTGGGGACCACGAAACAAAAGCTCTCCTGGGAAGGAGGTAGGACATTTTTGGGGTATCTTTCTAGTTCTTGTTTGTATTAAACTGTATGTGTATTTCATGGTATAAAAATGTATACAGCTTCAAGTGGAATTATGACAAAGAGGTTTTATTTAACAACAGAATATCATAGCTAAGATGAATTTCTTGCCCTAAAATTCACCAAGAAAAGACTACTTTCTTTTTCTGACATTAAGCACAGAGATCAACTTCAAGATTCAAAACAATGGATTTCAAAGAGATTCTCTAGTTTCTGAAATGAATGTGAGGACCAGTCTTTTATAATTTTTTCTGACCTCCCCGAATACTAAGCAGTTCTCAAAGAATCATGGACCATGAAATGCTAGCATGAGGATTTTCCTAGGTTTCTATTTAAATTGATCTAAGGCCTCCCTCACTGGTTCTAAGAAGCAACAACAGGAAGGTGGGGATGGGTTTGAGGCACAAAATGTTCTGTAGTTCTCAGAAGTGGTCATCTTCATTGA